ATAACCTTGTTAAAAAGTTAATCCTACGTTGATTCTAATAACTTGTAGATTCTTTTTAATATTCTACATATACTATTATGTCACTTGTAAATAGTTTTTTTTTTTTTTTTTTTTTTTTTGTGAGACAAGAGTCTTGCTCTGTCACCCACACTGGAGTGCTAGAGTTCAATGGTGAGATCACAGCTCACTGCAGTCTTGAATTCCTAGGCTCAAGATATCCTCCTGCTTCAGCTTCCTGTGTAGCTGGGACCACAGGCATGTGCCAGCACACCTGGCTAACTTATTTTTCATAAAGACAGGGGTCTCACTATGTTAGGCTGGTCTCGAACTCCTGGGTTCAAGTGATCCTTATGTATCAGCCTCCCAAAGTGCTGGGATTACAGGTATGAGCCACCACACTTGGCCTTCTTTCTTTTCTTTCCAATCCATTTGTTTTTTATTTCTTTTTCTTGCTTTATTGCACTAGCCAAGATTTCCAGTGCTGAACAGGAGTGATGACAGTGGGCATCCTTGTCTTTCTCCCAATCTCAGAGGGAAAAGTATCAGTGCATTTGTAGATATTCTTTATCAGAGCAGCTTCCTTTTTAGAAGCTTGTGTTTTTGTTTTGTTTGTTTTTTCATGAGCGAGTGTTGAACTTTTTATCTGAGTTTTCCAAATACTTTTTCCATTGAGTTTTTTACTTTAACCATCATATTGCCAAAAGTCTGCATTTGTTATTTCCTCTGAATTCTCACAGGTAGTGCCTGGTTTCCTTTTATTTTGGTGATCTTGGTTCATTCGAATATGCAGGAAATCTGGGGATCTAAATCCAGAATGATTCAGAGAGCTGGAGGAAGGGGGCTGCCCTGGCTTAACTTGGCTCATTCCCAGGCCAACACCTCACCGTGCTCCATGTCCCCACTGCTGCCACCCTTAGTATCTCTTTTCCCCCTTATTGGCCACATCCAGGCTGTCAGCAGTGAGTCCTGTGGTCAGTCTTCGAAATGCGCAGGGCTGGGCTGTCGGGTGCGTCAGCGCCCATCGCGTGCACTCTGGGCTGCTGTGTCCTGCTGCAGATGCTCAGCAGCTGTGGCCCTGGGGTAGGGGGGTGGGCGCTGGGCAAGGTGCTGAATTGAACCGCCCCCTTGCATGCCAGCTCTGTGACCAAAACTGTTCTCTCCTCTCCTCCTCGCTGCCCGCCGGCCCCTCTGTCTGCAACCGCCTGCTGGCCTCTGCATGGCAGAAGTCCTCCAGCTCTGCATCCTCTGAGGCCTCGGAAACCTGCCAGTCCGTTAGCGAGTGCAGCTCCCCCACCTCGGTCAGTGCTCCCAGCCCGGCCCCAGGATAGTCACCAGCTGCCCCTCCTATCCGTGCCCTCTCCACCTGGTGCCATTACCACACAGAGGGCCTGGGTTCAGCCAGGGGTGCGTGCACACAGCACCTGTCCCCAAGAGACAAGCCGCCTGGCCACCTCCTACAGTCACTGCCCACACAGCCACATCTTACCCCTGGGCCTGGTGGGACTGAGGGGCCACGGTCACACTCCATGTTCTGCCCTTGGCTGTGACTGTGAACCAGAGGCCCTTCATAGCCCTGGACACCGTGAGCCTCAGCCACAGTGAGGGGCCCCCGGGCTGTAGATGGTAGGGCCAAGGGTCCCCCTGACCTGCCACACCCTCCCTGCAGGACTGGTCCAAGGTTGGCTCCCACGAGCAGCCCTCAGGTGCCACTCTGCAACGGAGGAAGGACCGAGTGGAGCTCCTGAGAGACACAGAGCCAGGCCCTGCCAGTGGGGGCACCCTGGGCCCCAGCGGGGAAGAGGCACCACGACCCCGGATGTCCCCTGCCACCATCGCGGCCAAGGTAGGCTGGCCAGGGCCCCCCTTCACGCCCAGGTTAGTCCCAGGAGGCCCAGCCAGTGGCCTCAGGGCCAGCTCCAACCACCTGGCAGGGCTGCCTGGAGTTTGGGCAGAGGGGATTGGGGGCACAAGGCTTCAGCCTGCACTTTCCCACCCTCAGCACAGCGAGGAGGTGTCCCCCGCAGCCAGTGACCTGGCCATGGTGCTGACGCGCGGCCTGAGCCTGGAGCACCAGAAGAGCAGCCGGGACTCGCTGCAGTACTCCAGCGGCTACAGCACGCAGACCACCACGCCCTCCTGCTCTGAGGACACCATCCCCTCCCAAGGCAGGCCTGCGGGGCTGGGGTGGGACCAGGGATGGCTGGGACTTCGCCATCCAGGAGGGCCCCGTCCTTCCCCCTCTGTGCTCACCCTGGTGGGCTGGGGGCAAGGAACCACCTGGGCCCCCGGCCTTACTGCGTCCCATGCCCCCAGGCTCCGACTACGACTGCTACTCTGTGAATGGGGATGCAGACAGCGAGGGCCCGCCTGAGTTTGACAAGTCATCCACCATCCCGCGCAACAGCAACATCGCCCAGAACTACCGCCGCCTGATCCAGACCAAGCGCCCAGCCTCCACTGCTGGGCTGCCCACCGCGGGGCTGCCCACGGCCACTGGCCTGCCCTCGGGCGCACCCCCTGGCGTGGCCACCATCCGCCGCACGCCCTCCACCAAGCCTACCGTGCGCCGCGCCCTGTCCAGCGCTGGCCCCATCCCCATCCGGCCGCCCATCGTCCCTGTGAAGACGCCCACGGTGCCTGACTCACCCAGCTACATGGGGCCCACACGGGCAGGCAGCGAGGAGTGCGTCTTCTACACCGACGAGACCGCCTCACCCCTGGCACCGGACCTTGCCAAGGCCTCCCCAAAGAGGCTCAGTCTGCCCAACACAGCCTGGGGCAGCCCATCCCCAGAGGCAGCCGGGTACCCCGGGGCAGGTGCCGAGGACGAGCAGCAGCAGCTGGCGGCCAACCGGCACAGTCTGGTGGAGAAGCTGGGGGAGCTGGTGGCGGGTGCCCACGCACTGGGCGAGGGCCAGTTCCCCTTCCCCACTGCTCTGTCGGCCACCCCCACGGAGGAGACACCCACCCCGCCCCCAGCCGCCACCAGCGACCCCCCGGCCGAAGACATGCTGGTGGCCATCCGGCGTGGGGTCCGGCTCCGCAGGACCGTCACCAACGACAGGTCGGCGCCCCGCATCTTATGATGGCACCACCCTCCCCATCCTCTCGGGCCCCAGTGCGAGCAGGTGGCCTGGTCTGTGAGCCACAGGCACTCAAAGCAAAGGCCCAGCCAGGAGAGAGGACAGAACCAGGGCAGAGGCCATGCCACTTTACAGAAAGAGACACCTCACTTGGATTCCAGCATTTAAACGAGAAGTGACTTCTTAGCAAGCCTGGCCGGGACGGAGCCTGCAGGCCTGGGCCTGGTTCGGGGTCTGTTTTATGCTCTTCTGTCCCTCCTCTTCCTCCTCTCGGGCCCTGCCTCTTCCATACCCGTGAGCACCAGGGCCAGGGCCAGGGCCCCGCCCACAGCAGAGGGGCTGGGCTGGCCTCCCTCTCACCATCCCGGCCTCTCCCAGGGCTGGTCCTGCCTCAGCTCCTCCTGGAATGCTGGCCCCCTCTCCCCTGCCTGAGCCCCCCTCCTCCCCTCTTGCCTTCTCTCTGCCTCTCCCAGGCCTCTATCTCCGGGAAGCAGAGCGGCTGTGGAGGGCAGGTGCGTGCTGGGCTGGATGTCTGCTGGGGGCTGGGGGCCAGGGCAGCAGGTTGGAGTTGGGCAGCCAGGCCCTCCCGTGTGGGAAAGGAGTTTCAGGGCCCACGCCAAGTCTCAGGGAGGAAACCAGGGGCTGCCTGGGGAGTCCCGGGGGCCCTGTGGTGGCTCCCACCCCTCGCCTCCCCAACCCCGTGAGGCTGGCTGGAGGGGGCCAGGGCAGTTCCTTGGAAACTAGGGCAGCAGGGTTAGGAGGCCGGAGGCCCTAGGGTCACCGGCCAGCCACACAGGCACCGTTTTCAGATGTTCACTTCTCATTGGGTACATCAATCCTTTAACTTTGGGGTCACAGTTTCAGCCACCTTTGGAAGGAGGGGACTGGAGCAGTAGGAGGTGTGGGGTCATTTTATGAATATAATAAAATGGAGCTGGCTGTGGACGAGGGCTGTGTGTGGGGGTGAGGGGATGATACAGGGTGGGTGTCTGGGAGCACCTGGGGGACAGCCCCCCCCCCGTGGCCTGGTGGTCCTATGGCAGGAGGAGAAGGGGGGGGACTTGGCTCCCCCAGAGCCCTGGGAAAGCTACTGTTCTCTCTGGCGTCTTGAGCGTAGCCAAAATAGGGTTGGGAGGCTCCCGGCCTGTCTGCTGTGGTCTGAGCCAGCTGCAAGCCCAGGTAGGGGAGCGAGTCTGGGAAGATTGGCTTTGACTCTCTGTTGCCAGAGGAGATGCCATCCCAGGACGGCCCCCACTGTAGTCCAGGCTTGCGCTGGCAGCGGGGGCAGGGGGAGGGGCAAAGCTGCCCCCACCCCACGCACCAAGTCACGCCAAGTCTCAGCAGGTAAAAGCACGTGAGCCTAAGGCAAGCGGAGGAAGTCCTGGTGGCCCCGCAGGTCAGGAGGGAAAGCAGGGCTCGGAGGGCATTGTGGCCCCAGGGCAGGGTCCTACCTGGGGGTCAGGAGCACCTTGGTCTTGATGGAGTGGAGCTGGGTCTGAGCCTCCCAGGCTTGAGCTCCTGGAAGTTCTTGTGCGGTGAGTTGGGACCCCGGCAGGGCAGCTCCTGGGTAAGTCTGGGCACCAAGCAGGCCCTGATGTGCACGGAGTCTCATCAGAGAGAGCTGATGGAGAATGGTCCCTGTAAGTCACTAGGTCCAACAATTGCCTGGCCGAGCACTCAACCCGTGGAGCTCAGGCCAACATCAGGGCCCCTGTTTTAGGGGCCAGGAGAGCAGGTGACCAGTGTGGGGAGTCTTGGGTGGAATTTCTGCCGCACATTCTCCCCAGGGCTGCAGGGGTCTGCTGAGGCAGGGCGGTGGAGCAGGATTCAGGATGTGGTGGGAATAGTGTGAGGGGCAGTGGGTGGGCAGGCCTGGGCTTCAGAGGTCCTGATGGGAAAGGAGGCAGGGGCTTCCCAGAGAGGGGGGCTCGTGTGGCACAGCCCCCACCAACTCCGCCGTGTCCCTCCCCTGCAAGCCCTGGGGGCTGTACATACTCTACCCCATCCCCTTGTCCATCCTGAGACCACCCCTGCCGCCCTTGCATCGACGTAGCGACCACCTCGTAGGCCCACCCACCTCGGGATCCGAGCCAACCATCCCACATCACAAACTTTGGTTTGGGGGAGTTTACGTTTGTTTAATTTCTCATTTTGTACAGAGAAATATTCTTTTCAAAAGCGTCTTTTGACTGAAGTAACTTTCCTGGTGCTGTTAACTCGTTCCTTTTCTTAATTTATTCCCCTACCCCAGGCAGCCCTCCTGGTTCCTACTCACCCTTCCCCCCCTCCCCTACCCTCCATCCCATACGAACCATTTTGTTGCTTTTCTTTCTGTCAGATTTTGGAAAAATTCTCTTCTCCTCCCCGCCCCCTCCACACCATCCTCCCCCTGATTTAAATAGTCACTGCTACAAGTAACAGATGCACTGTGAAGATTCCAGTATTAATAAAGGTGTACTGTAATTAACACCCCTGCCTCTGCCTGGCTGCTTTCCCGCCCCATCCCCACACCTCACCTTTCCTACCCCAGATCCCAGCTGCAGGGGGCCAGGCTGGGGGCTCCCGGAGGATCTCAGATCTCCATGTGGGGGCCAGGGCCAGACCTGGGTCTCTGAAATGCCCCACAGGTGTCCCTGCTAGGGGCTGCCTGGGGGCAGCCAGATGGAGGGAGGGAGGGAGGATGGCAAGGGTCAAGGCGAGGGGATCAGCCCAACACCGCCTCCCCCAACCCAGGCTTACAGAGGCCCCTGGGCTAGGCAGATCCGGAACTCCATCCTTGGCATCCTTCTCATTCCACATCCCTTGGGCAGGCTCCATCCACTCCGAATCCACACCCTCAGCCCCGCCCCCATTGACTTCCTGTGCTTGGCCACCTCCCATCCCCTCCAGGTTCACCCCTGAAGATGCAAAGCAAAGCAAACCAAAGGAAGCGGGGTGTTTAATAGAAAAAAGAAACTGGAAGAGCATCCTCTATGGCTAGATGTGGCACTTGGCACCGCCCTCTGCCCCTAGCTCCCCAGTCTGCCAGGCTGGGGGGTCCTAAAATGGCCACGTGCTGCCTGTCTCCCTGCAACCCACGGCTGTGGCCTCACTGCTGCGGGCCACAGGAGGCTTAGCACCCCCTTCAGGAGGGGGACAGTGAGGGCAGCGCCAGGAGGGGCCAGGAGCTGTGTCCCCATCCACCTTCAGGTCCCCAGGTCCCCTCCACTCCAGGTGAGGCCATGGCAGCTATGGAAGGCAGGAAGCTGAGCCCTGCTGTGGCGCAGAATCCCCCCAAAGGAAAAACCCCCTTCCCTGGGGTCCTCTCCCAAGGGGGGTCTCACCACCACCCCTCGAAGTCTCAGGTCCAGTTGAACTCCTGTGGGAGCTGGTCTGGCTGCCCCTATCTGCAGTCACCATCCAGAGTGCTCAGGGCAAGAGGCCCTCGCCCTGTGCCCTGACCGGCCTCGCCAAGCCTGTGGAGTGAGGCGGGGAGCTGTGGGACCACGGGGGCGGAGGGTACAGCTGGGTGGCCGCATATTGCAATGAGGGCTCTGGGCAGTAAGACTGAGGACTTGGCACCTCACAGTCCTGCCAGTTTAGGATGGAGCTTTGTTTACCTGCAAGGGGTAGGAAAAAAAAAAAAAAAGACTGCAGCAGTGTTCAAGACCACCGTCCCCACCAAACCAAGCCACGTGTGCTGGTCCCCCACCCTACCCAGGGCCCATCCTGGCTTCCAGAAATGGCTTGTAGCCCTGGGGAGCGGAAGATATGCCCGGGAGAATGCCGGCCCTGCCAGCTGGCCTAGGCCCAGATGCCCAACCTCCCGCCTCCAGGCCCCATCCCCTGAGAGCTCCTTACAGCAGGAGCAGTACAGCAGCTCCATGACCCGGAAGCAGTTGTCCAGCAGGGCTTTGGGCCGCACCAGCTTCAGGTTCGGCCCTGGGGCATTCAGGAGGGACAACACGGATTCCACCTTGGGGCTGACCTCCACATCCTGGAAAGGAGGAAACCATCAGGAGCGGCGGCGAGATGGGGCCGCACCCCAGGAGAGCCGTGAGCGCTGTCCAGTCACCTGGAGCTGCCCAAACCCCAGAAGAAGGACCAGACATCCTGTGACTATGAGCCTGGATAGCTATTTCTCACCATCTTCTTCCTGTGGGCGTGGGGAGGGTCCCAGATGCCACCTCTCACCCATGCACAGCTCAGAGGCTTTGCTTTTTTTCCATCCTTAGAAAAATGAGTAAAGGGCTTAGGCCAAGACAGTGAGGAAAGTGGGGTATCTCGCGCCCAGGCACGGCCACCCACCACTGCATGAGGACCCCCTGACCTGGGGGAAACTGTCCCTCAGGAAGGAAACACCTCCATCAACTCCAAGGAACAAGAGAAGGCCCTCAGAGGGACACTGAGGCTTAAGTCACATACACAGGGCAGGGTGTCCAGCTCCAAGCTGGTGTGGTTTCTCTCCACGATACGCAACAACAGGGTCATGTGGGGTGTACCGTGGCACCGAGGGAAGGAAGTCCCTGAACAGGAGGTCAGGGCCACTGCAGAAAGCATCGTGGGAAACGTGGGGGTGATCTTCTGGAAGGGGGCGACCACCCAGGCAGCATGTCCTGGGCCAAATTGTCCCTCTCCTCCCCCAAAAATCTGTGTCTTCATCCTATCCCTTGGTACCTGTGAATGTGACCATATTTGGAAAAACGCTCTTTGCAGAGGTAATTAAGTTCAGTATCTTAGAAGGACATCATCCTGGATTTCGAGTGGGCTCTAAATCCAATGCCTGATGTCCTTGTAAGAGAAAGGTCACAGAGACAAGGAAACACAGGGCAGAAAGCCATGAAAAGACCGAGACGGCCAGACACCGTGGTTCAACCTGTAATCCCAGCACTTCGGGAGGCGGAGAGAGGCATATCACTTGAGGCCAGGAGTTCAAGCCCAGCCTAATCAACATGGCAAAACCCCGTCTCTACTAAAAATACAGGCGTGGTGACGGGCATCTGTAATCCCAGCTACTTGGGAGGCTGAGGCAGGAGAATTGCTTGAACCTGGGAGATAGAGGTTGCAGTGAGCCGAGATTGCACCACTGCACTGCAGCCTGGGCGACAGAGTGAGACTCCGTCTCAGGAAAAAAAAAAAAAGCCACCACAGAGGCCAGGTAGGGTGGCTCATGCCTGTAATCCCAGGACTTTGGGAGGCTGAGGCAGGAAGATCCCTTGAAGCCAGGGGTTCAAGA